TAACAAGAGAGAGACTCTATCTCGAAAAAAAAAAAAAAAAAAAGGCGACAGAGAGAGAAAGGTGAGCTTCTGACACATATTGGACACATGGACATGGGGGCCTGAAACACTGTTTCTACAGACAGAAGAAATCGTCAAGCAAAATGTAGCCTTCATATATGCTCCTTTCCTTTCTCCTCTATCCCTTTCCTTTTCCCTCCCTGGGGAAACCACAGTAGCAGAAGTCTCATTCAATCAAATAGCTGTCAATTATGTGAGTTGTACTTTTCTCTTCCTCAACAGCAAACTGGCTTTCCTCCTCTTTGTCCTCCTCTTTCTGTCTATAGAGTAATTTCCTCCAGTCCACTTTGCAGGGCCGATAGCTCAAATACAGTGCTATGGTGATGACACCCACTCCAAGGGCAACGGTAATAACGACAAAGAGGGTAGAGCTGATTCTTTCATCCGGTCCTGTCCAAGCACAGAAGATTGAGTTAGGAAGGTCAGAAAGTACGAGGATCACCTACCCTTGCCCACCAGGCCCACTTCTGAGTCTCATTCTTCCCAACCTAGTAGAATCTTTCTGATTTTCACGTTTGGGTAAGAATCCCAAACCCCTAAGGGGTTTCCATCCTGCACCTGACAGCAGGGCAGCAAAGGTTACCTTGAAAAATGACAGCAATGTCTTTGCTGACAGAGCCCAGCTGGTTAGTGACTCTGCAGCAGTAGGTACCGGTGTGGTTCTGGGTTGCCTTCTGTGGCACTTCAAAGTCAACGACCACCCCATTCCGGGTACACACCAAGGCTGGAGCTGGGTTTCCCTTTGGGACACAGGCGAGCATGTGTTCCATCCCTTCCAGTGAAGTCTGTTTGCCAGAGCAACGGGTTCCTCTAACCGTGGCTTGTCTACAAAAAGTTTCCCAAACAGCCGAGTTCAGTGCACCACACTCCCTCCCTTCACACCCTGCTCCCTCTCCTCCCCTCACCCAAATGCTGTCCACTCCACCCAACAGTGTTCCTTCCCAAGGGAGCACTAGCAGCTCCCTGCTTTGAGCCAACTCTTCTTTCTCACCTTCCCTATGAGCAGGGAGTCCGAGATGAAACTTAGGTTGTTTTTATGGATTCAGACTAAATGATAATGCTGCTCTGTCCCTGGTGGCCCTGGGGCCCCTGCTTCCCATTTTTGCATCTCAGTGGATAAGGAGCTAGGTAATGGTGAACTCAGAGATGAGGATTTTTCTACTTTTTGTTTGTTTGTTTGTTTTTTGTTTTTGTTTTGTTTTTTTTTTGGAGACAAAGTCAGTCTCACTCTGTCGCCCAGGCTGGAGTGCAGTGGCGCAGTCTTGGCTCATGGCAACCTCTGCCTCCCGGGTTCAAGCAATTCTTGTGCCTCAGCCACCCCAGTAGCTAGAATTACAGGAGCAGTGCCACCACGCCCGGCTAATTTTTCTATTTTTAGTAGAGTCAGGGTTTCACCATCTTCGCCAGGATGGTCTTGAACTCCTGACCTCATGATCCACCTGCCTCGGCCTCCCAAAGTGGAGGGATTACAGCTGTGAGCCACCGCGTCTGACCTATCCTGAGCCTTTTGAAGCTGATACCAGAAGTGAGAAGCCCAGTCTCTCCCCACTGGCCATGCGGAGGCTCTTGTTGGGTAGTCTCTTAGCCTGCAGGAGCCAGGGATCTGGCCCCAAGTGATGCCCCAACAGTGGGCCACTTCCCAGGACTGTCAGGAAAATCCCAAGTCTACCTCAAAGTTGATTTTTTACTAGCAATGAATGATGGACATGGTCTCCATTGCTCAAGGCCCTGGGAAGATCAAGACTAGAGAAAAGGATAACCGACTTCTACCCACACCTGTGGGCCTCAGTTCTTCCCTCTGGTCCATGGTTGCCATGGTAACCCTTTGTAAAGTTGTTTCCCCAGGGTTCCCTGGAGTCCTCTGAGTCACCATAACTCTGGGGTCAACAGAAATGGAGAGGTGAGAGGAGACACTCCCCTGCCCTGGCTGATCCCAGGTGTTTTGGCAGTAACCTGTCTGGGGAGTCTCACCAGCCCTGTGCTCACCTGAGGAGTTCTGGAGTGGTCCCCAGTTAGGGCCCCTGCTGCCCTCATTCCTAAGGGTGGCTGGAGACTTCTTCCATGGCCAAAAATCCACATCTAAGTCCCCAGCACTGGCTAAAAGACCCTGTCATGGGGTGCAGTCTGTCCCAGTTCACATTAGAGGAAGGATGGTGGAGGAGGCAGAAGCTACGTGGAGCTCAGGGACCCTCCTCCATTCCCACCTGGCTCCTCCTCTTTGCTGGTGCTGGAAGGAGAATGGGGAAAGTGGTGTGTGCACCCTCTCTTGGCCCCATCTTTCTCAGAGCTGGTACCATTGATGACACCGCTCTTGGACCCTCCAGCAGCCCTGCCTGGAGAACAGCCCACAGCCCAGTGCACTCCCAGCAGATGATGAGTCTGGGGCGCTGGTCAGGTAATGCTTCAGGAATGACGGCAGAAAAAGGAGGTCTGTCTTCTGCTCTGAAAGCGGGGAGATGGCAGGGCCACAGCATGCACATCCTGGGCCACAGGGCTGTGGGTTTTCAATGTTGGTTGCCAACACCACAGTCAACCACTTCTAGAAACGTTTCCTTGTTTCCTTGCTTGTGTTTCTACAACGTCAAGTGCTAGATGCTCTTAAACTCAGCGGGGGATGATTTCAGTGCCCCTGAGGATGTTCTTTCCTGCTCTCATCTCTGGGGGCATCTGATGCTTGTGACCTCCAGATGACAGTGAAACAACCCCAACCCTGGGCACCAGGAGAAAGGAGGCTCAGTCCTGGCTTTCTCTGCCTTCGCCTTGTCCTGTTGTGAGGTTTCCACAAGGCACCCCATGCCACTGCACTATTCCTACCTGGGAATAAAGAACAATCTACCCCTTATGGAAAGACAAAATGAGGCAAAGATCCCCTTGTGCTGGGGGCAGGATCCCTGCACTCAGAGGGATTTAGAAGCTGAAATAACTGGGTTGGGATCGGTGGCTCACGCCAGTAATCTCAGGACTTTGGGAGGCCAGAGAGGGTGGATCGCCTAAAGTCAAGAGTTTGAGACTAGCCTGGCCAACATATGAACCCCGTGTCTACTAAAAAAGTACAAAACTTATCCTGCCATAGTGGAGGGTGCCTGTAAACCCAGCTACTAGGGAGGCTGAGGCAGGAGAATTACTTGAACACAGGAAGTGGAGGTTGCAGTGAGGCAAGATCATGCCACTGCACTCCATCCTGGATGACAGAATGAGACTCCATCTCGAAAGAAAGAAAGAAAGAAAGATGGAAAGAAAGAAAGAAAGAAAGAAAGAAAGAAAGAAAGAAAGAAAGAAAGAAAGAAAGAAAGAAAGAAAGAAAGAACAGAAGGAAGGAAGGAAGGAAGGAAGGAAGGAAGGAAGGAAGGAAGGAAGAAAGAAAGAAAGAAAGAAAGAAAGAAAGAAAGAAAGAAAGAAAGAAAGAAAGAAAGAAAGAAAGAAAGAAAGGAAGGAAGGAGAAAGAGAGAGAGAGCGAAAGAAAGAAAGAGTAAGAGAGAAAGAGAAAGAAAGAAAGAAAGAGAGAAAGAAAGAAGGAAAGAAAGAAAGAGAGAGAAAGAAAGAAAGAAACTAAAATAACTATGTAACTGAGTAGCACAATACTACCTGTTCTGGAGAAAGGACTTTTTTTTTTTCTATGGAGACTTGCTCTTTCCCCAAGGCTGGAGTGCAGTGGCACGATATTGGCACACAGCAAACTCTGCCTCCTGGGTTCAAACAATTCTACCACCTCATCCTCCTGAATAACTGGGATTAAAGGCTTGTGCCACCATGCCCAGCAAATTTCTGTATTTTTAGGAGAGATGGAGTTTTGCCATGTTGGCTAGACTGGCCTTGAACTCCTGACGTCAGCTGATCCACACACGTCAGCCTCCCAAAGTGCTGGGATTACAGGTATGAGCCACCGTGCCCCGCCTGGAGAAAGGACTTTGAATGACACAATGTGGGAAGAGCAAGGTTGTGGAGATCTGCTGCCCTGGCTGAGGTAGCTCATGCAATCAGTCTCTCTCAGCCTCAGTGTCTTGACCTGTGAAATGGGGTGATAATAAGACCTCCTTCACAAGAGAAGCGACAGGTCAGACGTGGGAATGCACAGGCAGGCCCTTGGCAACTGGATAAGCTCTATACAGATCTGGAAAGGAGGAAGAGAAAAAAGAGGAGTGGCTTCCACGGCTGCATAAGGCATCTTTCCGCCTGATGTGTTCTGAGTTTCAAAACCGGGAAAGACACTCAAACCTTCAAGAGCTCTTCTAACTTTTCGATTCTCTGATGGTTTCAGGTCTAGGGGAGGAAGCGCTTGTGGTCCATGTCTGTCCCCAGGATATCTGTTTCTTGGTTTGTATCTCTGCTGCAGGTCCAAGGAGCTGGAGCAATACCTTGAGTCTGGATTCTTCATCCCCAGGGACCTGGGGGAGCCCCCAAAGGCTCAGGGAAAGGGGAGAGCAAAGTGTGGGGTTGGTTCCCTCTAGTGGTCAGTGTTAGCACTGCATCCAGCTGCCTCAGGCGGGCCCAGGAGGAGTCAGCAAAAGTGGAATTCAGGACTGAATCGTGCCCAGAACCCCCACAATTTATTGGCTGTGTTTGGCCCCTTTTCACAACACACACATTCTCTCTGCTTGGTGGAGGGGAACCATGCAGGGTGGAAGAAAGGGATAGGATAGAGAGTGGGATAGGGTCGGTATGGGTCTCAAGGACGGGCTATACTGATATCCTTCCCTGCGTTGAGGTTGGCCACCATGGCATGCTGCCAGAGGACACCCACCTGCTCCTTAAAGAGAGGACAAGTTGGGTGATATCTCTGGCTGACAGTCTGTGCACAACCCTCACAGTGTTGGTGACGGTGGGAAGGGAAACATGACAAGCCAGGGGGCATGATCCCAGCATGTGTGGGGGAGCTTCTAAATTATCCATTAGCACAGGCACGTCAGTGGCACCATGCATAAACGTACAGAGAAACAGGTGGGGTCAAGCAGCGAGAGATAAGGGGCAGGGTATAAAAAGGGCCCACAAGAGACCAGCTCCAGGATCCCAAGGCCCAACTGCCCGAACAACTCAGGGTCCTGTGGACAGCCCACCTAGCTGCAATGGCTGCAGGTAAGCGCCCTTAAAATCCATTTCCGCACGATGTGTCCCGAAGAAAGAGGTGGCACCCTGTAGATGGGACCGGGGCACTAATCCTCAGGTTTGGGGCTTCTGAATATGAGTATCGCCATCTAAGCCCAGATATTTGGCCAATCTCACAATGTTCCTGGTCCCTGGAGGGATGGAGAGAGAGGAAAAAAAAAAAAAAAAAAACAGCTCCTAGGCCAGGGACAGTGCTGGCCTCTTGCTCTCTGCCTCCTCCGTTGTCCTCCGGTTTCTCCCCAGGCTCCCGGACGTCCCTGCTCCTGGCTTTTGCCCTCCTCTGCCTGCCATGGCTTCAAGAGGCTGGTAGGGTCCCAAGCGTACCCTTATCCAGGCTTTTTGACAACGCTATGATCCACGCCTATCGCCTGCACCGGCTGGCCTTTGACACCTACCAGGAGTTTGTAAGCTCTTGGGGAATGGGTGCGCGTCTGGGGTGGCAAGAAGGGGTGACTTTCCCCGCTGGGAAGTCATGGGAGGAGACTAAGGAGCTCAGGGTTGTTTTCTGAAGCGAAAATGCAAGAAGATGAGCATATGCTGAGTGAGGTTCCCAGAAAAGTAACAATGGGAGCTGGTCTCCAGCATAGAAACCAGCGGTCCTTCTTGGTGGGGGCGGGTCCTCCTCCTAGGAAGAAGTCTGTATCCCAAAGCAACAGAAGTATTCATTCCTGCGGAACCCCCAGACCTTCCTCTGCTTCTCAGAGTCTATTCCCACACCCTCCAACATGGAGGAAACACAACAGAAATCCGTGAGTGGATGCCTTCTCGCCCAGGCGGAGATTGGGGAGGCCTGTGGTCAGAGCCACAGGCAGCACAGCCACTGCCGGTCCTTCCCCTGCAGAACCTAGAGCTGCTCCACATCTCCCTACTGCTCATCCAGTCCTGGCTGGAGCCCGTGCAGTTCCTCAGGAGTGTGTTTGCCAACAGGCTGGTGGTGTATGGCACCTCGGACAGCGACGTCTATGACCTCCTAAAAAGCCTAGAGGAAGGCATCCAAACGCTGATGGGGGTAAGGGTGGCACCAGGGGTCCCCAACCCTGGAACCTCACTGGCTTCGAGGGCTGGGGGAGAGAAACACTGCTGCCCTCTTTTTAGTAGTCAGGCCCTGACCCAAGTGAACTCACCTTATTCTTCATTTCCCCTGGTGACTCCTCCAGGCCTTTCTCCCCTGGAGGGGAGGGAGGAAAATGAATGAATGAGACAGGGAGGGAACAGTGACCAAGCACTTGGCCTCTCTTTCTCTTCCTTCACTTTGCAGAGGCTGGAAGATGGTAGCCCCCGGACTGGGCAGATCTTCAAGCAGACCTACAGCAAGTTTGACACAAACTCGCACAATGATGACACACTGCTCAAGAACTACTGGCTGCTCCACTGTTTCAGGAAGGACATGAACAAGGTCGAGACATTCCTGCGCATGGTGCAGTGCCGCTCTGTGGAGGGCAGCTGTGGCTTCTAGGTGCCCGCATGGCATCCTGTGACCCCTTCCCAGTGCCTCTCCTGGCTCCGGAAGGTGCCACTCCAGTGCCCACCAGCAATGTCCTAATAAAATTAAGTGTATCATTTTGTCTGGCTAGATGTCCTTCTATAATATTTTGTGGTGGAAGGGGGTGGTATGGAGCAAGGGGCAGCTTGGGAAGACGACCTGTAGGGCCTGCAGGGTCTATTGGGAACCAGGCCGCTGAAATATAAAAGATTTGACTGTTCCTGGGCCAGAAGAAAGCTGACACATCACTGCAGTCTGTTACTCACTAAGGCCATTCCACCAGCTCAGTGGTCCCAGCTTACTGGTCATAGCTCATTAGTCATCCCAGAGATGACTTGAAGGCATTTCTTCCTCCCCCACCATCACCAGTAACACCAAACCTGGCCCTCCAGGAGCCGGAAGAAATGAAAACAAGATGGGCTATTAAGTGCAGAGGCAAAAACTCTCCAACACGAGAGGAAACAATGTCATAGAACTACTTCTGTGCAGAAGAATTTTAAGATGAATTTTCCTTAAGCCCAACTACTCTTGGGAAATGAGAACAATGCAAAAATTACTTGGAGACATACAGAACCAGAGCATTTGGGATCTGAATTAGGGCAAGAGAAGTGGAAGAGAGATTTTATTTGGGGTTGCAAATGCAGTGACAACAGGTGCCAGGAAGATAACAATGTGAGCAATGAGGGCTGGATGGAATAGGATAAATCCCAGATGACACTCGCTTTCCTTCGGAGGATGCAACACAGAGGGGTAGGAAGAAGCACAACCTGCAGAATTCAAGCCCCCGCTGAGGTAGGACCCACCCAGCCTGTCACCATCAGGACTGCAGGGACAGGGCTTCCAGAACTTCTGATTCTTTGAGACAGCCAGGACATCCAGACTTTTACATGAAATCTAACATTTAAACACTGGCAACACATACTGAAAACATTTTAAGGGCAAAAATTCATCCAAACACACATGGTCTCCAAGCTGTTTGTGAGCAAGTTTGTTCTGAGAGATGTTGATTGGGGTAACTCGGTGTAAGGGAAAGAATCAGAAAGATTTGGGTTGTACATCATTTGTTGCTCCTGAATAAATTACTTGACCAAGCTGAGATAATAATATATTGCTTTACAAGGATTATGTGAGGATTAAATGCAATGATATATTTGACACATTATATAGTACTGAAGAAATTGTAGTTATTTCTGCATTGAATTTTCAGGTGTTTTTTGTTTTCTGATGGAGTGTCTACATATGTGTCGTGAAACTATATCATTTTCCTAATGACAATTAGGAAATAATAAGCACTAAAGAGTGGTGGTTAGCTCGTTATAGTTAAGAGTTTACTCTCCCAAGCACTTTGGCTAAGTGACTCATGACCTATAAATCCATACTAAGATGCTCACAGGAACTCTAGTATCCAAAAATGATTCATGAAGTCAGGAATTATTTTGCAATGCAAATAATCAACCCCTTAATTAATTCTTCTTCAGAAGTTCTGATTCTTATGTGCTATAATGAATTTTCTTGATAACGAGACCCACTTGTGTTCATTTTTGGCTATCTTACAGTTAATAACTCCATCCCTGGGAAGTGGTGGAGAGCTGAAATAATCAAAATTCTAGAGCTGCTTCATTTCTCAGCTCAGAAGCCATTCCTGCATCTTACATTGTTCTTCTACTATCTGGCTTTAAAATTATGCATTTTGGAATTAGAAGGGCCTCATAAGTCAGTCTAGTTTCTTCTACTTTGGGAATCTTATCCTCCGGCATCCATTGTAGTCAGTATTCCAATTACGTGTAGCACTAGAACCGAGGGAATCACTTTTTCACAGGGCTACTCATTCTATTAAACCACTCTCATTGCAGAAAACTATTTCTTGTACGAAGCTGGAATCAATATTCCTGCAACGTCCTTCATTCGGCCTTAAAAAATTATTCACAAAACTCACGGTCTTTAGAAGTCAATGGAATGAGCACAATTATCATTATCTCTTGGCTTCCGTGTTTTAAAAGGAGAGGCGAGCCATCTTAATAAGTATTTGTTGAATGCATGTGACAGGGGAATGACAATGTCCAGTGCCTGCATGGGTGACTAAGAGGATTCTAAAGTGGGGTGATCGTAACATATAACTGAACTGCAGGGGGAGCAACACTCCAGAGACTGTCCGCCCAGCTCCCCTCGGGTATAGGTGAATCCACTCAACCACTGCTGATTGAGAATTAGAAAGATACTACATGACTTTGCACATTTTACAATATAAAAAGATCTTAAAGACCATCTACTTTAAACTCCTTTGATTCACCCACTGTTATTCCACATTTCAGCTCATCAACTTACTGTGGACAGCAATTTCCACTGCAAATTTGAGATGCCTAGGTGTTTTCTAAACGATGCATATGTAAGCACTCACTCCCTGAGATTCTGATATAATTAACCTGGAATCTGGTCCAGGCAAGAACAGTTTGAAAACTTTCCCAGGTGATTCTAATGTGTAAACAAGGTTGAAAACCACTGTGTTGGGGAATCTTGTCCAGGCAAGAGTAGTTTGAAAACTTTCCCAGGTGATTCTAATGTGTAAACAAGGTTGAAAACCACTGTGTTAGGGACTGCAAAGATGAGACCCATGTGTCCACAGCCGTTGTATTGGTGGAACAGGGAAAAAGAAGAACGAGGACATGAGAGGCCTGGACCAGTTGTGGTGCCACCTGCTCCTAATTCCAACCAGTCATCTCAAAAGCGTTTCTTATGAGCCAGTCACAAAAAGACAAATACTGTCTGATTCCAGTCATATGAGGTACTTAAAGCAGTCAAATTCATAGAGACAAAAAGTAGGATGGTGGCTGCCAGTGGCTGAGGGAGCTATTTAATGAGCACAGGGTTTAGACTGTGCAAGATGAAAACGGTTCTGGAGATGGATGCTGGTGATGTTTGCATGACAATGTGAACGTACTTGACATGACTGAACTGTACACGTAAAACGGTTAAGATGGAGATTTTTATGTATTCTCACAACTGAAAAATGTTCGTAGTCTATTTTTGTTTTCATTTTTGAGACAGAGGCTGGAGTGCAGTGGTGCGATCTCGGCTCACTGCAACCTCCACCGCCCGGGTTCAAGTGATTCTCGTCCCTCAGCCTCTTGAGTAACTGGGATTATAAGCGTGCACCACCACACAGGGCTAGGTTTGAGATTTTTTGTAAAGACAGGGTTTCACCATGTTGGCCAGGCTGGTCTCAAACTCCTGGTCACAGGTGATCCACTCGCCTTGACCTCCCAAAATGCTGGGATTACAAGCGTGAGCCACCACGCCTGGCCCTTAGTGGTATTTTCTAATGAAAACTCTTCCTGAAGATAAGATTAGTGAGACTGGCACAAGGAGGAGTTCAATAGGCAGAGGTCGAGTCATCCTTGACCCCTGGGATCATGTTTTCTTGACTCTGTCATTTTTTTGAATTTACCCTAACCTAAAATGACCACTTCTGAATTTCTTCCATGAGCATTGTTGAAATACACGTGGTGGGTTTTGTCTCTTTATACTCAGTTCCAGGCAGAACTGACCCTTCCCTTTTCTTCTGAATTACAAGGTCTGGGCTTCTAGGCCAGGAACAAATGACACTTTGCCTGGCTGCTTTAATTCAGAAGGCCCTGAAGTGCTGAGGTACCACGATGAGCACCGCTGGGATTGGGGTTACCAACTTGGCTCATATCTGTTTGAGAGACTTTCTCAATATCAACACTGAGAATCTCACGTTCCTTCCAAGAATCCCTCAGCTCAATGCAAACTCAGCTAATAGGACTGGTCACCCTGCTAGTAGTCCTAAATCATAGGAATCAAACTGAAATGGGGAAAGAGCAAAGAAAAAGACTAGAAAATCAGAAAGCTGTGCACGGTGTCTATGACTTTTGGTGGCCCTCAGGTTACCATGGATTTCTGATTCTTACTTTGAGTTTATGTGATTATAACGATGTGCTTAATTCCCACCAGAATTATCAGCATAATAATAAAAACCAACAAATGTAGACACGTCTCTAGTACCATGAGTTGTAGGTATTATGTCATTTCTTTCTAGCGATAATTCTCTAAGGTAAACATTATTATTAACCCTATGGTAAGAAGTCCCACTAAAGATATAACTTATGCTTTCTCAGGTCTAGAGAGAAAGACACCAAAATGTCACCTGACATCCTTAGAGGATAAACGGCCAGGCACGGTAGTTTTCACGCCTATAATCCCAGTCTATGACTTTTGATGGCCCTCAAGGTTACCATGGATTTCTGATTCTTACTTTGAGTTTATGTGATTATAACGATGTGCTTAATTCCCACCAGAATTATCAGCATAATAATAAAAACCAACAAATGTGAACACGTCTCTAGTACCATGCCAGTTTATTACAGGTATTATGTCATTTCTTTCTAACGATAATTCTCTAAGGTAAACATTATTATTAACCCTATGGTAAGAAGTCCCACTAAAGATATAACTTATGCTTTCTCAGGTCTAGAGAGAAAGACACCAAAATGTCACCCTGACCATCCTTGAGAGGATAAACGGCCAGGCACGGTAGTTCACGCCTATAATCCCAGCACTTTGGGAAGCCGAGGCGGGCGGATCACAAGGTCAGGAGATCGAGACCATCCTGGCTAACACTGTGAAACCCCGTCTCTACTAAAAATACAAAAAAATAGCCGGGCGTGGTGGCAGGCGCCTGTAGTCCCAGGTACTCGGGAGGCTGAGGCAGGAGAATGGTGTGAACCTGGGAGGCGGAGCTTGCAGTGAGCCGAGATCACGCCACTGCACTCCAGCCTAGCCGACAGAGCGAGACTCCATCCCAAAAAAAAAAAAAAAAAAAAAAAAATATATATATATATATATAAAAATTAGCCAGGTGGTAATTGCACACCTGTATTCCTAGTTACTGAGGAGTACGGAAATCACTCCAGCCCGGAGGCAGAGTTGCACTGAGCGATCATGCCACTGCACTCCAGCTGGGTGGCTGAGCAAGATTCTGTATCAAAAATAATAATAAAGACAATAAACTTTTGGAGCATTAAAGGCCACTCTTCACTCTGGGAGATAATCAGTGGCTATAGCTAGCCTAAGCTGATTGTTAAAATGTTCAGAAACAATATGATCAAAACCATTTGGGGGTGGGGGCCTCCTCCTATAGGCTTGATGAAGGCAGCTACCTAAGAAGCTCTATTATACTGGAAGAGAGATATGAGACCCTTCCTGCTTTAAGAATCAGTGAAGCCGGGCATGGAGGCTCAGCCTGAAATCCCAGGACTTTGGGAGGTGGGCAGATCACCTGAGGTCAGGAGTTTGAGAACAACAAGGCCAACATGATGAAACCCTGTCTCTACCAGTAACACAAAAATTAGCCGGGCGTGATGGCGCACACCTGTAATCCCAGCTACTCCAGAGGCTGAGGCAGGAAAACTGCTTGAAGCCGGGAGGTGGAATTTGCAGTGGCGGCGGAGGATCGCGCCACTGCCTCCAGCCTGGGAGACAGAGGCGAGACTCGGTCTCCAAAAAAAAAAAAAAAAAAAAGAGAAAGTCAATGAGAAGGGCGCCTGACCCTGGTGGTAGAGAGTATAGCCGGGAAGGGAACTGGAACCCTGGAAACCCAAGCAAGAGGACACCCGCAGCTGGACCAGGCCGCGAAGAAGCAGATCCTCCTCCTCAGAGATCCACAGCAGCTGGGAACCTGGATCTGCAGACCCACTTGGTTTGATGGTACTGTGTGGGACCATCTGTCAACACTGACACCCTGTGGCACTGAGAAGCAAAGGCAGCAGCCAGCTAAGCCTCCAGGCTCTCCCTGCTGGAACTAGAAAGTCCAAGTGGCCCCCTTCTTCCTCCCTTTTTGGTTTTGTTTGCTTTGTTTTGTATTTCTTTGTTTGTTTTGCTTTAATTTCTTCAAAACCAGAGTCGCTCAGTTACCCAGGCACAAGAGGTGCAATGCCGCCATCTCGAGTTCCACTACAACCTCCGTGCCCGGGTTCAAGCGATTCTCCTGCCTCAGCCTCCCCCAGTAGCTGGGATTACAGGTGCACACCACCACGCCTGGCTCATTTTTCCCTTCCTTTTTGGATTCGCTCTGCTTCAAGGCACTGAGGCCATGAGGCAGCGTTTGCAGATACACGATAACTACAGCCTGATGCAACTGATCCTGACTTACCGAAAATGGCTGTGGATCCCGAATGGGGCGGCTCTGATCTCCTGTCTTTGAAACCTGCTTCTTAACTTACTTCCCCAAATGCTCAATTCAGGCGAGGTATGATTTATCTTAGACTCACAGGATGAGAGAGCAGTAGCTCCACCTAGTGGAAACATCCAGGTTGAAAAGGTCATGTTCGGGGATGATGCTATTTTGCAAAGTCAAGATATTTCATGTCCCTCCAGGAAGTCTTCATTGATCCGAGTTATGCTTTCTCTTAACAATCTGTCTTTGATCATAGAAGTTCATGCACAAATGTAATCTCTAGTTGTTTGTCTAAATGGCTTTCCTAATAAATTTGTGAAGGGACAATGTTTTGTTCACTGCTATATCTCCACAGCCTTACATGTGATGAAACCAAGGGTTATTTTACACTTAATCTATAACACCAGACTCAGAGTCTGGGAAAGAATGGAAAATGTTTCCCTCTGCTGTCTGATACCACCGTTTTCTGGCTAATATCTGCAATTTGGAAATCGCACCTCTCTCTCTATCTAAAATCTAGTTACAGTTTTCGTTTTTTGTTTCCTTTTGTTTTGTTTTGGGACAGGGTCTGGCTCTAATGCCCAGGCTGGAGTGCAGTGCATGATCTCAACTCGCTGCAACCCTCTACCTCCCACGCTCAAGTGATCCTCCCACCTCAGACTCTCAAGTAACTAGGACTACAGGAACGTGCCACTATACGTGACTAAGTTTTGTACTTTCTGTAGAAATAGAGGTTTCGCCATGTTGCCCCGGCTATTTGCAATCTCCCGGGGCTCAAGTGGTCGCCCTTCCCAGCCTCTCAAAGTGCTGGGATTACAGGCGTGAGCCACCGCCCCCCGCCTGAATTTTAGTTTTGAAAGCAGGTAAAATAGGCTGCTGCCCTGAGCTAATGCACCCCCTGCCCTGGGCTGGTTGTTTACGCTATCGACACGGTGTTTTTTCCTTAGAAATTGTGCTTAAAAAGTTATAAATGCAGCCAGGAGCGGTGGCTTACACCTGTAATCCCAGCACTTTGGGAGACCAAGGTGGGTGGATCACAAGGTCAGGAGTTCAAGACCAGCTGTAGGGTGTGAAACCCTGCCTCCACTAAAAACAGAAAAAATCAGCTGGGCATGGTGGTGGGCACCTGTAATCCCAGCTACTTGGGAGGCTGAGGCAGAGAGAATTGCTTGACCGAGGTGGAGGTTGAAGCAAGCCGAAATCACTGCCACTGCACTCCAACATGGGTAACACAGTGTGACTCCATGTAAAAAAAAAAAAAAAGTTATAAAATGCAACTATTTGACATAATTAGAGCTTTCAGAAATGACACAGAAGGAAGTAAATCTGGTATCATAAAATCACTTTTATTTTTACCACAGCAACATTTCAGTGAACATTTCTTGACTGATTTGGGAGAAAAGATCTGATTTTATGATTCCTCATGCCTTCTCCGAAGAAGGTAGAATATCTCCTCTTTCAAGGACAGGGAAGGGGCTGAATCATAAAATCATATGAGGGTACTGTTTTCAAGAGGATTCCTCTTCTTTGAAGCTTCAGGAAATTGTTTGCAGACAGATGAAAAATATGCAGACAGATGAAAGGGAGGTAACATTGAAACTCGAACCTAGACACCCATATGGGTAAAAAAAAGAAAAGCTTGGCAAATGCAAACTCACAGTTGATCTCTCTGTGAAAAGGAATTCAGAGATGTTTGGAGTGCAGCCTATGAAGAGGCCAATTCCATGGAAGAATTCTATATATATATATAAAAATTAGCCAGGTGTGGTAGTGCACACCTGTATTCCTAGTTACTGAGGTACGAGAATCACTCCAGCCCGGGAGGCAGAGTTGCACTGAGCCGATCATGCCACTGCACTCCAGCTGGGTGGCTGAGCAAGATTCTGTATCAAAAATAATAATAAAGACAATAAACTTTTGGAGCATTAAAGGCCACTCTTCCTCTGGAGATAATCAAGGTAGCTATAACTTAAGCCTAAGCTGATTGTTAAAATGTTCAGAAACAATATGATCAAAACCATTTAGGGGGTGGGGCCTCCTCCTATAGACGATGAAGGCAGCTACCCTAAGAAGCTCTATTATACTGGAAGAGAGATATGAGACCCTTCCTGCTTT